AGAGAGAGAGAGAGAGAGAGAGAGAGAGAGAGAGAGAGAGAGAGAGAGAGAGAGAGAGACCATCTCTGGATGCTGCACGTTCAGGTAGAGTGGTGTCTCTAGACAGGAAGAAGGCAAACAACTCACCTTTCCCATGGTGTCCCTTAGGCTTTCCTCGAGCTGGTCTTTCTCCATCCTGAGCATTTCCTCAATTCTCTTTAGACTGTCTCTTTCTTTTATTACAGATTTCATTTCCTCAAGGTTTTCGTGAAGCTTCTGAGCCAGGTTTAAATTCTCCATCTCTATCTTACTCAGAGTTAAACCCTGTTCCTTGAGTTGCTTCTGTGCTTTACTGGCGTCTCCTTTTAACTTAACAAGTTGAAGTTCATTTGCCTTAAGTTCTTGAATCTGAAGACATGAAATCACATTAGGACACTGACTCTTTAAGAAAAGCTTTATTTTTCATTTTTTAGACTTAATTTTTTATTACTGCTTTATTTTATGGTTAAGGGTGTTTTGACTACATGTATGTCTATGCACCATATGTATGCCTGGTGCCCATGGAAGTCAGAAGACGGTGTCAGATCTCCTGGAACTGGAGGTAAAAGAGAGTTGTGAGCTGCCAGGTAGGCTGTGGATATCAAACCTGGGTCCTCTAGAAGAGGACTACTCATTATGTGAGTGAGGTGCTCATGAAGGTCAGAGATACAGGAGCCTCTGGAGCTGGAGGACCAGGCTTTGAGCCACCTGACATGGATGCTGGAAAGTGAACTCCAGTCCTCTGCCTTTTAACTGCTGAGCCATTTCTCCAGGCCAGGATACAGACTATTTTAAAAGAAAGCTGAAGAATAATTTTGCTGGGAGTGGTCATTCATGCCTTAATCCCAGCACTCTTAGGTGGAGGGAAGAAAGAATAATTTCTAAATTGACTAAGATAGTAATCTTTCCATGTTATTCTCATTAATGTTTTCTAAAGGCACCCACCCAGCTTTCTTTTGAGGTATAACACATATAAAGCATACTAATCTTAAATGTAGAGTTTGGTGGTTTTTGTGTTTTGTTTTTGTTTTTGTTTTCTTTTTTTTTGTTTTTTTTTTTTTTGAGGCAGGATATTCTATGTAGCCCTGTTAGGGAACTCTTGCTGTAGACCAGGCTGGCCTCGAACTCATAGAGATCTGCCTGCCTTTGTCTCCTGAGTGCTGGAATTAAAGGCATCCATCCACCACCACAGCCCGGTTCAGTTATTCTTGATATATGCATGCATCTATAAAATCACACCCCAGACCAAACTAGATAGTATTTGCAGTATTCAACATCTGTGTATCCTTTCCTTGAGGTTAATATTAATCTAACCTTTAACATCCTGGATCAGTTTTGCTTCCTTTTGAAGTGAAGACGACAATGGAGTCATCCATTCACTTGCTGATATTTAGGTTGTTTTCATTTCCCCGCTATTTTGAATAAAACTGCTATGAACATTCTTGTAGACTGTGAAGAAGAATGATCCTTGTCCTTTTCAGTACACACCCAAGGAAAGGAAACGCTAGGCCTTAGAGTGAATACTGCCAAATTGTTTCCCAGTATGGCTGAACCTTTATAACCTCAAATGCTTTTTTTTAGGCATGAACAAATGGGATGCCCAATCAATACCTTTTCTTGTAATTTAATATTTGCATCTTCCAATTCCATTTTCATACTTGATACTTCATCTGTCTTCTTGGACACAATCCCTCTGAGTTTGTCAATAGTTTCTTGGTGCTCTTTCAGATCCATGTGAACAATTCTTAGTTTCTCTTCCTTTTCTAGATCCTTTTAAAACAGGAACATATCTCAACATTAAATAGTATTTTTAAAAGTAAGTGATATATTTTCTTAGTTTAAAAAAATCATGTTTTTACTTCTTTTTTTGTTGTGAACTGGGAGTTGAACTCAAGACCTTGTACAAGCAAGCAGATGTTCTGATATTGAGTGGGACAGTCTGCTTTAACTCCTTAAAAAATTACCTTAATTATTATTATTATTATTACTATTGTATGTGAAAGCTTCACATGAAATCAATGGACAGCTCTGTGGTGTCTGTTTTCCCCTCCTTCCTTTACACAGGTTCCGGAGAATGAACTCAGATCATCAGGCTGGTGCAGCAAATGCTTTACCCGATGAGCCACACTGGGGGAGGAGGAGGCTGCTTTTACTGCTTCATGTTCTGTATTGTTAGAAATCCATAGACCTTTCCTTCCTATTTCATTTTCCTATACTCTTACTTAGAGGCCAACATATCACACATTTTACTTAACAAACTGCTTCCCCCTTACTGTGCCTGAGCTGCTTGTACAGGACCTTGGCCTACTGCTTGTATTTACTGCCCGTTTCTTCCCAAGACACAGTAAGGTTCTTTCCTATCACAAACTGCTACTGCTCTGACCTCTTGGCTTTCATCTCTGCATTGGCTCTGTGTTTCTTTCTTATTTACTAAGACGGTTGGTTACATCTACATGTTTATGTATACACTCATTTGCTTATACATTTCTTTAACAACTGAATCAATATATACCTAGGTTAAAATTCCATAAAGAAATGCTGAATTCACAAAGTTCAGGAATACCAAACTGCCTGCCATTCCTGTCGCCATGATGGACTCCCACTCCCCGACCCCCCAGATGACTCGGAAACCTGCTATGGCAGGATGGGAACTTACACTTGCTTCCAGTTGCTGAAGACTCTTCCTCAGTTCGTCTCGCTGTACTCTGAGGGCTTCATCCATAATTTTTAGGTCGTCATTTTCCTTTGTAACAAGTCGTATTTCTTCAAGGTTTTCATAAACTTGTTGAGTCAATTTTAACTTCTCTATTTCTATGTTCTCCAGAGTTGAATTCTGGGCTTCTAGCTGCTTCTTCAATTGCTCCATTTGATCTATACTTTCACTGAGCTCAGCTTTCACTTGAGAAAGTTGATGTGCTTTTTCCTGGAGTTCTTGGCTCTTAATACAACCATATAATAAGTTAGAGCACTGACCATATGAACAGCCCCCCGCCCCCACTGCCCCTCAACAGTCTTAAAATTGAAGCAGCAAACCTTGTGCTTCAAATTTAGACAGGTTCACAGCCTGTTTCCTGGTTCATTACACAGAAGATCTGACTTCATTTCCCGACTACTCAGATGAAAAAATACCTGTGTTTCTAGCGCAGTATGTGCATGTACTAAGTCCCCTTGAATACGTGATATTTCCTCTGCCTTATCAGACACACTCTCTCTGAGCTTGCGGATAGTCTCCTGGTGCTCCTGCAGATGCTCACAAGCAACTCTCAGCTCCTCCTCTTTTTCCAGACCCTTAATTATTAGGAAAAGCAAGAATTGAAGAAATACATTTCAAACATAAGCTATACAAAAGGAAGTAAAAGTCTTCTTGCCCTCTCAGGCCTCTGGTCCTCACTCTCTTGAGCTGCTTTGGGATGTGACCACATATTCTAGATGAACCACGGTCAACTTATCTTTCCCCAAGATAGGACACTACAAATAGTGTCAGTCTACTTTGTTAGCTAAGGCACAGCATTCCATGATCCAAATATGCTGTTTATTTTTAATTATTTATTTTTAATAATAATTAATTATTATATTAATATGTCCCCTATTAATGGACAATATGAATGCGCTACAAATATCTTTGCAGGACTGTGCCAATGTGTAGAGTGTAAACAGTTACAACTAGACTCTCAGGACCAATTTTATACTTTGCCCACTTCAAGCCCAGTGTCAACTGGACATTAAGCTGCATGACGGCATAAAGATGGCAACTCACTCTAGTTACTGTCTCTTTAAGGCTCTCCTTCAGCTGGTCTCTCTCTATTGTGAGACGCTCTTCCGCACTCCTAAGCTCATCTCTTTCTTTTGCTACAGATCCCATTTCTTCAAGGGTTTCATGAAGTCTTTGAGTCAAGTTTACATTCTGCATTTCCACCCTCTCCAGCGTTGACTTTTGGTCCTCCAACTGCTTGCTCAAGCATTCCACTTCATATCTATTTCCTTGAGTATCATTAATAGTCTCCATTGCAAGACATTCATGCTCTTTGTCCTGAAGTTCTTGGAGCTGAGAAAAGAAGTTAGGTCACAGGTACACAGAAGTGGGCTTTGTTAGTTTTTAAGAGAAAGGAAGGTGTATTCCTACATCAAGGCAGAAACTTTTCCATTTAGTGATATAGAAATATAGGGTATAGATACAATAGGATAAAAGGGTAGATTATTGAATCTACTTTTAAAGAGCAACAACTTGTTTAAAATGTTTTATGTTGCTATGGATTTTAGTTTACTGATACAAATTTAAAGTTAATTTTGTTATACTGTATGTATATTTCTACTCTTGTTTAAGGTATTATGTTTGTGCAGCTCATTAAAATTGTAATGTATAATTAAGAAATACAAATTAATAGTCATCTACAATAGTCAAACTTATAGTCATGTTACTTAGGTTTTATAGATATGCAGAGATATATTTTAGTTAGGTAGGTAATCTTCAAACACTTCAAAGACCTACAGAATATGGCATTTAAAATGTTTTAAAAACTTAAAACTTTCTGGACAGTGAGACATGTCTACTCCTGGCAGCACCGATGTACTTCAAAGAGAAAGATGGGCATCGAAGACACTCCATATGGAGTTTATCTTCTTGGCAAAAATAGCCATTTGGGTTCTTGCCTGGACTTGCCTGGACTGCTTGACAAAATGTTGTATCAACTAGACATGCAGGACCCATAGGAAGGTGACCACTGAATTTTTTAGGTTCCTGCTTCACAGAGGAGACTGCCAGATACTCTAGAGGACACATGGAGAAGCGATTAACTCAAGGCCTACTGGCTAAAGATAGATGCTCCAACGTTGCAGATGAACTTTGGGTGACTGTCCAGGCAGCCAACTGTCTCTGTCATTCTAGATTCTTGGAAGTTGCTTACAATGCATTTCCTGTTTACTTAGGTAATATTATATCCTTCTGGGGTCTCTGATGTAGTTGAAGACTTAATAGTTATAATTTTGCTAAGTTATGATAAAAGATAAATTAGATATGAAACTTTAGACTCACAAATATAGGATAGAATATTTTCTTTAATTTTACCAAATACAAATAGACTAGATATTGTAACTATAATTCTTGCTTGATAACTGTTCGTTATATGTAATTTTACTAGTTAAAACCTTCCTTTTGGGAAATGCTGTGAGATAATGCTTTTGTACACTGGTTTAATAAAATGCTGATTGGCCAGTAGCCAGGCAGGAAGTATAAGCGGGGCAAACAGACTAAAGGAATGCTGGGAAGAGGAAGAGCAGAGTCAGGAGCCACCAGCCAGACACAGAGGAAGCAAAATGACAAGGCAGAACTGAGAAAAGGTACCAAGTCATGTGGCTAAACATAGATAAGAATTATGGGTTAATTTAAGTGTAAAAGCTAGTCAGTAATGAGCCTGAGCTAATAATGGCCATACAGTTTATAATTAATATAAGCCTCTATGTGTTTGTTTGGGTCTGAGTGGCTGTGGACCAGGAGGGAAACAGGAAAATTTCCAATTACAATTTAGTCTGATGCGTGCTGTGCTTTCTTTGATGAGAAATGGGAAGGAAAGAACAACTAAGTTCATGTGCTTTTCCACTTAACAAGGAAGGCCTTCTTCTTGTAACCCAGCATTTGACTTTCCTAAATCTCTCTGAGTACCTGCTGCTTGATCTGTCTTTCCTGAAACATTCCTTGAACTAGTCATTTCTATGTAGTCATTCAGATGAATAAACAGTTTTCAGTTCCCTTTAATCATTACAGAAAAATTAATAAAACTTAATAGGTGACATCACAATCATCTTAGTCCTATTTTTTTTTTTTGTTTCCTCCAAACTAGCAGACAGACTTACCTTAGCACCAATTTCTTTAATGTTTTCTTTCTGTTGTTCGATTTCCACATGAAGAGCCTCTCGTGTTCTTCTCAGTTCATCTCTTTCCTTAATTAGAATTTTTACTTCCTCTTGACTTTCTTCTACTTGTTTAGTCAACTGGAGCCTGTCACTTTCCATCCTTTGTAGTGCTGAGTCCTTGGCTAGGAGAAGCGCCTTGACTTTGTCTAGTTCTTTCATTTTCTCTTGAGACTCACTAGTTTCTTTTATATTAAGTTGTTCCTGTTTCTCATCAAGTTCTTGAACCTTCAAACATCGATGAAATAAGTTATTAGCACAAAATACCAAACTCTCTCTCTCTCTATTCCTCCCTCCCTCCATCCCAAGGAAAAAAATATAAAACAGGTTCCAAAACAATTCATTATGTAAACAGCAGTCTTTAAGTCAGCAATCTCCAAGTTTCCTCCCACTGCTTTTCACCCTCAATTTACCTTTCTCTCTAGTTCATCAGTGGCCGACTCTAGCTGTACACGAATACTTGACAGCTCAGTGTCCTTCTGGGAGAGGCTCACTCCTAGTGTGTCAATTTTTTTCTCTTGCTCTTTCAGGCAACAACGAGCAACGTTAAGTTCCTCTTCAGTTTCTAGATGCTTTAGTATTAGAGAAAATTCCAAGACATTTATGGAAATATAACCATTATAGTATAACTGACTCCTTTTTGAAAAAATTTAGCAATAAGGAAAAGCAATACAGAGCAAAGAGGAAACTGTCTTAGTTGCAACAGCCCTGGGATGCTGGGAACCTGGAGAGCCTGCTGCAGGCACAGCAGTCCACCTGTCTTCCTTTGACCAGTACAGTCCAATCACCAAGGTGCCGCAGTGGCAAGCGTGCACTGGCAGTAACCACAGCTCTCTAATTGGACTTAAGAGCCGCTCAATAAGAGGGACACCACACCTGGTACTGGGAACCCAGCCAAGTACTCAGGGCTGGTGAAGTCATGGCTCTTGGGAGGAGAACCTATACACATCTTTTTACTAAGCCAGCATAATTCCTAGCTACATTCTAAATATTTGTCCTTTCCCCAAGTTGAGCATTTCTATTTCTTCTCTCAGTGATGCTTGATGCCGACTCTCTGCCTCTGCTCCGCTCATCAGTTGTTCCACCTCACTCATTACTTCAGCAGTCTCACTGCCCTTTCCTCCCACAGTGAAGAACTGCTCCTGTTTGTGGAGCGCTTCTTGCATCTTAAGGGGATTCCAAGACAATACATTTGATAACTAAAGATAACTATAGAAGGAAGGAAATTAGTCATTTTCTTATGTAATGAAGATAGGATCCAAGGGCTCATTTACAGAGTAACTTTCTCCCATTCTCTAGGTAGTTAATATGATTTATTTAAGGACTCACTGTATTGTCAAGTATCCCATTAGACAAAGGCTAGAGATAAAATGGTTGAGTTTTTTTTCTTCTTTCTTTCTATGATTCTTTCTGCCAGAATCATACTTTAGGGGGAAAAGACAGATACTATGCCAAATTTCACCAAACAGAAGAGATAGGCTACTTAGGGCATTAACACCAAGCATACTTACTATCATGGGTGATTAGAAAGGGCTTCCTAGAGGACAGAAAACTGAGAGGTGAGGGATGAAAACACTAGGTACACAAAGGTGTGTAAGTACTGCAGGTGGAGAAATGATCAGAGCAGTCAAAAGTCCTGAGAAGTACAGAAGAGCATCCCAGGAAGGGAGGCTGCAGAAGGCTAGACACCGGCAGGCTCCATGGTCCCGGGCCTCATGGACCATGCAGTGGATTCTAGTTTTTAAAAAGGAACAGTAATATAGTGAACAAATTTAAGAAAGCATCACTTTGTCTCAGAATGGGAACTGTGTTGGACAAGTGTAAAAATGAATGTAAGGGGACGGGAGAGTTGGCTCAGTGGTTAAGAGCACTTGTTGAAAAGGACCTGGGTTCAATTCCCAGCACCCACATGGAGGCTCATCACTTCCTTGGGCACCAGGCATGCATGTGGTAAACAGATGTACAAGCAGGCAAAACACACATACACATAAAATAATTAAATTAATCTAAAACAAAATGAATATAATGGTGATACTGTATAAGGGTATTGGTAATGTGGACAGAAAAATGGGAGGGTTTTAATGCAGGTTGGGTGCGTGTGAGCAGACACACACACACACACACACACACACACACACACACACACAC